CATGTCATTTGATATTCCCGCGTTCCGATTAGCTTACTATGTAGTAGAGGTTATTCAGCTAAACTGTCCGTCATTACACCAAACTAAATCTATAATCTCATGTAGAAAAAAGAATTTAGTTTAAGTACTACTGGAAAATTTCTAAAGAATTTAAGAAGTTCACAATATGAAATTTTCATTAAACAATATTTGCAAAAAAAAATCATAAGTAATTTATTATGGATGTTATATAAACTTTATTACTCATTTTAAGAAACACTATTACCATGTAATTTTAGGATAAGCGTTTTATGTGGTATTATTGAGTTTCAAAGACCTTTCAAAAAGGAAATCATTATTTACATACATTTTGTAAGTATAGCTTAAGTCATTATTGTGAATAAGAAACTTTAGTAATTTAAAAACTTAAAACTTTAATATTAAAGATTTAGCTTTGTATATTCTTTTATACTTATATAATTCTTAAATTAAAATGAACATAGTTTATGGTTGAATGTACCTGATGCCCACAAGATAGTATTAGGAAACTTTGATGAATAAACTACTAAATTACAGTCATTTTGAACAGTAAATAATGTTGATAATATACAATTTCTACAATATTTATTTGTAGCCCATAAATGTTTTTTATTAGAATAAATAACTAAATTACCATCATATTGTAATATTAGGAAACAATTATCATAACCTTTTGATGTAATTTCTGATTCCCAAAGTTTTTGCTTTAATGAATATAAAACTATCTTACAACTATATTCCATCACTAAAACATTTTTACCATTCTGAGAAATTAAAAAATTATTAATATGTAAAGTTGAATCAGAAAATAAAGTACTTATGCTAAGATAGCAAGCATTTATACTATCAAAACCAATATTTTGACTTTGATATATTAGTTCATGTGATGTACCATCTAGTTTATATCTTATAAGATAATTTTCACTTTCTTTTTCAAAATAATCTGAGAGTGATTCATATAAAATATTTCTACTAAACTGTAAAATTCGATCAATTCCACGTATAATATTATTTCCTATAATTTCTGTAGATTTATCCTTTAGTGAACATTGATCTTTAACTTTAATTATCAAATCAACATATCCTTGAGATGTTAGTATTCTATCTTCATCAGAAAATGTTACAGGATAATCATAATTATGTTGAATTTTATATAATAAGCTATTAACACCCGTAATTATTCTAGTAATATCTTGGTATGTTAAAATTCCTATTCGTCCAAGTTTAGGTGTATATTTTTTAGGTGCAACAACAAAATCTAGTTTAATTAATAAGATAATGCAAAGAATTAAGAAATAAAACTTTAAAAAGGCCATGTTTACTTCTCCCAAAAAACTTTATTTTAATGTTAGCTTTTTCTTACTTTTTGTTTTTATTTATAACGATTTTTTTTATGCTAACTTTAGAGAGAAAAAACATATATATAACCCTAAAAAATCCCTACCTAAAACATCATGTTAAGCAAATCTTCACTAATGCATTTCACTACTGGAAGTTGTAGGCCTCTGTAGATTTAAGTAGAACAATATCCTTATGTGCCATACTTCGTGACCAATTATACAAACTATTCATGCTATGATTGCTTAGAGCATTGGCAAAGTTCTTGTACAGAAAGCCCCAGGGAACAGAGAAAGAACTTGCAAGCTTTCCAGAGACTTCGACGGCAAGGAAAAAATCCAGAGTATGAAATAGGCATCGTGGAACTCAAAGTACCAAAAGTAACTTCTCCTTGTTGGGAAAACTATGGAGTTGGACCAGTTCCAAAGTCTTGATCTCGCCATAAAATATGCCCACCGCACAGCAAGACCTTGATTGTGATCCCATCCAGCATTGACTTCACCATCCCGTATCCCATATAATCTATGAGACCGAAGAGCCGAAAGACAAAAATCTAGCAAGCACCACAAAGCCATCTTAGCAACCACAGGCATTTCTCCGTTTCTAGAAACTTGGAGAGAAAACACATCATCTGGTCATCTCAAGCATCTTTTAAGACTTGGGCTTTGAGAGAATTTTTCCATTTTTTTCCAGTTCTATTTCTCATATCTTAAATATAGTTATTTTATTTTTACTTATTTTTTATGATCCAAATTTTTTAATATGAGTTTAAACATAAAAGCTACATTGTGCTTTTAGCGTTGAGTGACCATTAAAACCCCTCAACACTTGCGGCGTCCTCCGAGGTATGTGATTTGCTTCTAGCAGGCGATCGATTCTCATCCCTCACGAGGATCTTGCCTATTTTACCCATGCGAGGTCGAAAAGAGGTAGGAACTATCTTTACAAAATTTTGCTCCAGGTTGTCTACCCCAAAGACGAACTCCATTGCCGGTGAAGAAAGACTGCATTGCCATTGACAATCCAGGTAACTTTGTCTTCTTTGAGAATGATACTTCAGGGAAGACAACGTAAGGTTCCTTGCGATGCACAAGCTTCGGAAATTAAACTTGTAATTCGTCCAAGGAATTGTTTGCCCCTTGAGAAACCGTGAGGTAATATAGTACGCAAGTCTATAAGTTCTCATCTTCGATGCAGAGGGCTGACGCAGATGATGCTAAGTTTGTTTTCCTGACAAGCAGACTGTCGTTTCCAGGTTTCTGGATGGAAAACTGCCCGCGCTTGCACAAGATGGACGCTACCTTTAATGCAACGACGGGAATCACTGCCTGGGCGGTGACCATTGGAGCAGGAAGACGCTCTCGTGGCTGGCATCACGTCAAAAGCAAACACTGATGGTGAGCTCTTAAGCTTGATGCGATCGACGCTTCTAAAAGCCTTCGTTTCTCTCACAGGACGATAGTCTTCGTGAGAAGGTTTGAACGACAAGTTAAAGCTGAATTATCTAAAGTTTTGAACGAAGACCATGCTGGTAAGTTTCATGTTCATTAGAACAGAGAAGTTCGAAAGTGAGTTTCGAGGTCTTATTCTCATTCTGGCGCCAGAGGCTTGTAGGCTACTAAGAGGCCGCTTTTAAAGCTCTTGATTCTTACGAAGCCTAGCAATTTCGAGGACGTGCTGGTACGTTTGGGTTTCGTTCCAAAATATAAAAAATTTCTCGCTATATTTTGGTTTTCAAAGAAGCTTTTCGTAAGTTCTCGAAGCTGGATTTTGATCCAAAAGCATATATCCCCACATTCCCGATCCAACGGCTTCATTTTTATTCACACAAGAAGGCGGGAATATCGGGCGGACGTTTTCAAATGACATTGCATCGGACGGCTGCGCTTAAATTGTTTTGTGCCCGGGTGTTTGGGTTTAGGGCTTCAGGCAAACGCGAGCAAGGAGAGGTAATCCGGCGTCCTCCCCTCTTCGTCCTCGCGAGATCCTATGCTTGCAGATACGATGTCTAGGCGCTCTGTGCCGGATCGGGCAGCGTCTAGTGCCTCTGGCGGCGATATTTCGGAGGCGGATCGATCGATTGTGGTATATTTCGATTCGGCACAGGCTTGTCGCGTGATTCCGTGATGGAGCTTTGATTTCTAAGGGCACATCTTCATCCGGGGCGTCAGCATCACAGCGTGGCGACTCGATGATGCAGATGGGGGTCGATGACAGGGTATTTTCTCGGTTTCCTCACATTGCTCTCTCAGATTATTGTTTTGTTTTTTCCTTCGCCAAGTCAGCTCCGGATGACAAATATCTTTGTCTCGGCATCCGATATTCTACGCGAGGTACTTTCTGAATGCTTCAAACTTCTTCTAAGCATACACCTAGGGTGTGCAAACACTTCGCAAAAACATGGGGATTGATCTCTCCAAACTTCCAGACAATGAGGTACAAGACTCTAGTATTAAAGCTTTTATTCTTTCGTCTGATCACGCTGGCTTTGGTGTGAATTATTGTTAGATCATTAAGGCCTTGTTCTCGGACGATCGCTGGAAAGAAGTGCGAGAAAAGAACAAGGTAACTTACAACCAAGTGTGACCAAATTTTTCACTGTGTTATTGCTGTGTTTTGCTTCTGGAAGGGCGCCTCGACCAGTGATAGTAAGCCTGCATCCTGGGAGAGCCTTCCGGAGCTCCAGGAGGTGAGTTTACAGGAGACTGTTTAAAGCTCGATTCAACTTCTTTTGTGCCCAGGACTTGTTTCCCGACATCTGTCTACCAGAGGCTCAAAAACGACAACGTCTCCATAGCTTGATCACGACCAAGGCTGATAACTTTTGCGCTTGGCGACATGAATCGCCCGCGAGAAGAGCAACTCTCTCCATCGGCGCTGAGTGGGACTATCGAGGGATCCAAATTGGGCGGAAGCAACGATTTCATCCTCTATCTGCCCGGGCAAATCGAAGTTCGTCTTCTTTTTGTCGCTCGAAGCGACTCTTCCCTGGAGGAACTGGAAGCACTATATCCCAAGGGAGCATCGATAACCGTGAAAAAGCACTTACGGCTGGAGGGGCGCTGCGTTGTTGAGAATCCTAGTAAGTAATCTACTGTTGGTTTTATCATTCGTGTCATGACTTTCGAACGGTGCTCAGGAAACGTAGAGATCATATCCTGCTTCCCGACGACCATGGACGAACTCCACCAGAAAACATCCGGCGAGCTCCGCAGCTTGGCTAACGAGCACTTCCACATGAAGCAGTGCCTGGCGGCTGTGGAGCTCTACGACCTGAGCATTTCGAAGGCTGACAATGACACGGACAAGCTTCTGGCTCTCGGCAACGCATCGGAGTGCTACCTTGAGCTCGAGAACTTCTTCCTTGCCCTTCAGAACGCGGAGAAGGCTCTGGCGCTCGCGGATGCCACGGAGAACGTCCCCACCTCGGTGAAGTTGCTGACAAGGAAAGGGCGAGCTCTCCATGGCATGCTCAAATACAAAGATGCAATGCAGGCATACAAGCTAGCTCTCTCTCGCTGCAGCATTGAGCAACGGGCTGGCATCATCAAGCTCATGGACAAGAGCGAAGAACGCGACATCTCCGACGACCTCCACCGCTACCTGAGCCGAGGCTGCAAGAGCAACGACGCTCCAACTTTCCTGGACTTTGTCGGGCCAGTGAAGTTTCGGAGCCGTAGAGATGGTGGCATTCGCCTATTCGCCACCGAGGACATCGAGGCCGGGAAGATCGTCCTTCTGAGCAACGCACTGGGCTACGTCCGTGACATGTACACTGAGCATGCCGTCGTCGACGTCTACGTCAAGCTCGTACAAGCCGCACTGAAGTCTCCGAGAACTTCGCTGCAGCTCCATTACCTTTGGAGGAAGATTTTCGACGAGGATAAGGCTGGGATCCCACCAATGCGAGTGTTCATGCCAAACTCCGATATTGACTGGACAGAGAAGCGTGCCGTGGAGACGGACAAGATCAGGCACATTCTCGAGCACAACTTCAAGCTGGGCTTTGTCGGGGGCGTGTGGACGCTGCCGGGGTTCATCGCACACAGCTGCAGGGGAAACTTATGCGTGGTGCAAGTTGGACCCGCCAAGATCTTCCGGGCGACTTTGGACATCGAAAAGGGAGAGGAGCTCACGTACTCTTATGCTCCCTCTTTCGAGATCCTTCCTGTGGGCCTCCGCCAAGAGTTTATCAGCTGGTGCCGGTGCAGGCGGTGCACGATCGAGATGCTCTACCGGCGATGCGGCGGTCCCTACGAGAGCCTGTGCCTTCGTTACCAAAAGCATCTGAGTGAGTACAGGAGAGTCACCGAAGTGAAAACCAAGAACAGGCGACAGTTCATGGTAGAGCAAGAGCTCGTCCAGGTGGCAATAGACTCAGAGGAGATCCTCAAGCACACGAACGAGAGCACGACGAACAAGACGGTCCTACGCATGTCCTTCGCTTCAGCGTACCTCCTCTACTTTCTCTACAAGGATTCTGCCCGCCAGGAAGCCGTCGACGTGATGCCGAAGGATAGCGAGTTCTGCATGGATTTCATGAACGCTACCGTGACGAACCTCGAGAGCTTGGAGACGCTCACAGCAGGGCTTTTTCCCATGGCGTTCTACCCGACGATGACGAAGAAGAAGGAGGACCTCAGGACCATGGCGGATTGGTGCATCGACTACTGCTTCCAGATGCGCTACGGAGCGTCGATGACGAAGAGCGCGAGGGTCAAATTCCTGAAATGGTTGCAGAGCGATGAGCCGGACAAAGCCAGGCGTGCCTGAGGTATGTCTTACATTCTCACTTTCTTCTATTAAGTGTCTCTTGTTTTGCTAAGGAAAATACCGCGCGTAATCTAGCGTTTTTGAATGGACGGCTTCATGGAGGTAACCGGCAGCGGTCCCTTTCCTCTTCGAAATCCTGTGAGAGATGTCTAGGCGCTCCAAGCATGGTAGTGCTCAGCCGGAGGATAAAGTCTCTCCATCGGCTTCGTTACTTTGCGATGCACAAGCTTAACTTGAGGTAACATATATCAATTCTTCGATGCAGAGGCAGATGATGCCAAGTTTGTTTGCCGTTCCAGGTTTCTAGAACGGCAAAATGCCTGCGCTAGATGGCTTTGTGGTATAATTCGGTTTCTCGTTTCTATGGGATACGGGGTGGTGAAGCTGACGTTGGGTGGGATCACAAGCAAGGTCTTGCCGTGACGTGGAGCGTATTTCGTTGCGATCGAGCCTTTGGAGCTGGCGGAGAATGTCCACGAGTGGATGATTTTTTCAACAAGGAGAAGTTTTCTTCCAGTTGCGATCATCTATGCGTTTTTCATGCTCTGGATGTTTTCCTCGCTGTCCAAGACTCCGGAATGTTAACAGGTTATTTCTCTCTTTCTGTTCGTTTTTTCTCTCTGTTTGGATTAACTGGCAAAGATGCAAACCGCTTTCACCATAATCATAGCATCAACTGTTTGGATTGGCGGATTCACATAACGCGCTCGAATTTTTATCTCCAGTTGTACTTCAAATCTACTGAGGGCAGTGGCAAACTGCATGTGGTTTTGGCATTTTGGATAGTGCTATCTTCCGTCGCTCTGCGTGATTTGCTACCCGTTAGAAGCCATCACAAGGTAACAAGATCAATGTTACGTAGATATTTTAAAGGTATGTTATGCCTAGCCGGACAGACGATACCATCCACAAACTAGTACAACACGTGTTGAAATTTTTGTCTCATGATTTGAGTAATTTAAATACTTTTTCTATCTCAATCATCTTTCAGATTTGTTAAAGTAAATTAAAGAGTTTGTATTTAAATAAAATTTAAAGACTTATGAAGTACTTATATATGTGATAATAACATATTACTTTTTAGGGTTATATATAACATAATACAAGTAGTACTTAGATTTATATAAATCTATATAGGTTATATATAACATTATATATGTGATAATAACATATTACTTTTTAGGCTCATTGGAGTCTTAGCTGTGGCTGCCCATGCTCTTCCCTCTTGGCTTACCACATACTGATATACCAGAGGATTAGAAAACTTCAATAACAGAAATAAAACCCAAACTTATAGTATAACACCAAAGAATTGTATTAAACAAACTAAAATCTAATGTGCATTTGTTAAATATTTAAACCATCTCAAAGTCGCAAACCACTAACCTTAACTCAGACTTAACAAAACCTAAACCTAACTTGGACTCACAATTATTGTCTTTGTTGAAGTTTGCAAAACTCACATTTTTTGTCTTTCATATCTTTTTTATCCTCTCTTTAAAAGAAAAAAATGTTTTGGAGCATTAGCTTTATTGTTGACCTATATGTATTTAGCCTCATTTTGTTATTATATCCATTTAAGGCCATTCTATTTAGATTTTATTGCTTATTTTTATTCCACAATTTATGTTATTTATTCTCCCTCTAATACTAATATCACTTGTTCTTTATTGTCAAGGTTGGACTTTCTACTTTGAAGAAAAATCAGTTTGAAGCAGGCAAAAAAAAAGAAGATAAATTAAAAATTAAAAAAGAAAGGATGTGAAAGAAGAATAAATGGATAAAAAATACTACAAAAGGAAATTTTAGTAGCAATTAAGAAGGCTAAAATAAAGATATAAAAGAAGATCTGTTCACAATCTTTTATTATAAAAAGCTTTGTTTAAAAAATTTTCAATTATAAAATATTTTATCCAAAACTAAATAAGTAAGAGACTTGAGGAAAATTTATACTTAATAAATAAAGAAAGAAGTAGTACCAATAAATTAAAAGCTCTTAACAACACTCTCTTTGACAAAATTGGAATAATCCTTAGAACAAAGGAATATTCAAGATTAGACGTTGAAAAAACAATCCAAGACTCTATTAAAAAAATTAAAAAGTGCAAGATTATTAATTACATACACACTGTTAAAATTTGAGAAGGATAAAAAATACTCAATTGAACACCAAACTAAAAATTAGAGTAAAAATTAATCAATGTTAGACCTATAGACAAAAATTAGCTAACACTAGCTATCCCTCTCAAATTATTCAATTTATCTGCAAGCTCACCACTCAATATGAGCCCAGAATTGAGGCAATATCACCATAAAGTTATATGTTTATACTTATAAAACTGATTTCTTTAAAATTTTGAATAAGAGTAAATTGGTCTTAGGGTTTCCCAATTTCGACACTGATGCAGCCGCGAAGATCTCGAGATTTCGTTTCCTCCGAGGTATGTGATCGTCTACTTCAGCATTTCGACACAAACCGCATTCTACCCTATAGGCGAAGATCGGTGACATGCGTCCAATCTATTGGGGCGGAATACGTCGTCTTACCAATTTTTTGCTTCTCTACCCAAAGATGCATACAGCCGTAAGAAAGCCATTGAAAGTCCAGGTAACTTTGTCTTCTCAACGATATAGTTACTGACAGAGGATGATACTCCAGGTAAGACATTCTTGCAATGCACAAGCTTCGGAAATTAAACTTGCAATTCGTCCAATACCTCACTGACCTTTCCGTGGATTTCCCTTGAGAAACCGCTAGAGGTACTATAGCACAGAGCAAAAGCAAGTCTATAAGATGCTTCTTTCTTTCGGCTAAAGCAGATGATGCCAAGTTTGTTTTCCGACAAGCAGAGTTTTGTTTTCAGGTTTCTGGAACGAAAAATGCCCGCGCTTGTGGCTGGCATCACATGAAAAGATGACACCGATGGTGAGCTCTTTAGTTTGATGCGATCGATGCTTCTAAAAGCTTTCGTTTCTCGCAGGCACAGGACGATAGTCTTCACGAGAAGTTTTGAACGACGAGCTAAAGCTGAAAGACCTGCTAAAGTTTTAAACGAAGAGCATAACGTCGTGACGGTAAGTTTCATTTCCATTAGAACAGAGGTGAGTTTGAGGTCTTTTTCTCGTTCTGGCTCTCAGAGCCTTTTAGGCTACTAATCGTAAGAGGTCGCTTGGTTTTTGTTTCAAAACCTTGAACATGGTTTAAATCCCATTCTCGTTTAGCCGACGAGGTTTGGGACAAAGAGTTGTGTTTCGAGCTATAGACGTTTTTAAAAGCTCTTGGTTCTTACAGGTACAGGAGAAAGTTTTTCGAAGCTGCTAAAACTAGTGCTTTTGATCCAAAAGTATATATCCTGGTACATAAGGATTATCTGACGGTTATAAGCATTCGTGATCCAACGCTTGGTTTTCATTCTCACAAGAAGGCGGGAATATCGGGCGGTTGTGATTGAAGTTTCCATATCACATGCATCGGACGGCTGCGCTTAAATTTTTTGTGCCCGGGTGTTTGGGTTTAGGGCTTTAGGCAAACGCGAGCAAGAAGAGGTAATCCGGCGTCCTCCCCTCTTCGTCCTCGCGAGATCCTGTGCTTGCAGATACGATGTCTAGGCGCTCCAGGAATGCTTCTGTGCCGGATCCGGCAGCGTCTAGTGCCTCTGGCGGCGATATTTCGGAGGCGGATCGATCGATTGCGGTATATTTCGATTCGGCGCAGGCTTGTCGCGTGATTCCCTGATGGAGCTTTGATTTCCAAGGGCGAATCTTCATCCCGGGCGTCGGCATCGGAGCTTGGCGGCTTGATGATGCAAATGAAGCTCGACGACAGGGTATTTTCTCGGTTTCCTCACATTTCTCTCTCAGATTCTTGTGTCACAGCCAAGCCTCCGGATGAGAAATTTCTTTGTCTCGGCATCCGAGATTCTAAGCGAGGTACTTTCTGAAAGCTTGAGACTTCTTCTACGGGGCTTCTAAGCAGCAGTTTGTTTGTGAACTTAGGGTCCCCCAACAATTCGCAAAAACATGGGGATTGAGCTCTCCAACCTTCCCGACGATGAGGTACAAATCGACTCTACTAGTTTAAAGCTTTTATTCTCATCTGACCACGCTGGCTTGTTGTTAGATCATTGCGCGCTTGTTCTCGGACGATCGCTGGAAAGAACTGCGAGGAAAGAACGAGGTAACAACATACAACCAGTCCAAGCGTGTCACTATTTTTATTGCTGTGCTTTGCTTCTGGAAGGGCGCCTCGACCAGTGGTAGTGCGCCTGCATCCTGGGAGAGCCTTCCGGAGCTCAAGGAGGTGAGTTTACTAAAGACTGTTCGCTGCTTCTTTGGCTGGCGAACATCGAGGCCATGCTTGTTTTGCTCGGATTTCTGGAGAGCAGCAAACTTCTACCAGGATTTCTTTTGCTGCTGCTGTTTAAAGCTCAACTTCTTCCCTTTGTGCGCAGGACTTGTATCCCGGCATCTCACCAGAGGCTCAAAAACGGCAACGACTCCATAGCTTGATCACGAGAGCCCCAAGGGTGATAGCTTTTAAGCTTGAAGACATGAATCGCCTGCGAAAAGAGCAACTCTCCACATCGGCGCTGAGTGGGACTATCGAGGCATTCAAATTGGGCGGAAGCAACGATTTCATCCTCTATCTGTCCGGGCCGATCGAAGTTCGTCTCCTATTTGTAGCTCGAAGCGACTCTTCCCTGGAGGAACTGGAGGCACTATATCCCAAGGGAGCATCGGTAACCGTGAAAAAGCACTTTCGGCTGGAGGGACGCTGCGTTGTTGATAATCCAGGTAAAGTTGGTTTTATCATTTGTGTGTCATGACTTTCGGTGCTCAGGAAGCGTAGAGATCACGTCCTGCTTCCCGACGACCATGGAACTCTGCCAGAAAACATCAAGCGAGCTTCGCAGCTTGGGTAACAAGCACTTTCTCAGGAAGGAATGCCTGGCGGCTATAGAGCTCTACAACCTGAGCATTTCGAAGGCTGACAACGAGAGGGACAAGCTTCTGGCTCTCGCAAACGCTGCCGAGTGCTACCTTGAGCTCGAGAACTTCTTCCTTGCCCTTCAGAACGCGGAGAAGGCTCTGGCGCTCGCGGATGCCACGGAGAACGTCCCCACCTCGGTGAAGTTGCTGACGAGGAAAGGGCGAGCTCTCCACGGAATGCTCCAGTACAAAGACGCAGTGCAGGCTTACAAGCTAGCTCTCTCGCGCTGCAGCAACGGTGAGGCGTATAACGATCAACGGGCTCACCTCATCAAGCTCATGGACAAGAGCGAAGAACGCGACATCTCCGACGACCTCCACCGCTACCTGAGCCGAGGCTGCAAGAGCGACGATGCTCCACCTTTCCTAGACTTTGTCGGGCCAGTGGAGCTTGCTCCCCGCAAAGAAGGTGCCATTGGCCTGTTCGCCACCGAGGACATCAACCCTGGGAAAATCGTCCTTCTGAGCAATGCACTGGGCTACGTCCGTGACATGTACGCCGAGCATGCCGCTGTCGACGTCTACGTCAACCACTTGCGAGCCGCCCTGACCTCTCGAAGAAGTTGGCTGCAGCTCCATTACCTTTGGAGCCAGATTTTCGACGAGGATAACGCCAGGATCCCACCGATGCAAGTCTTCAAGCCAAACTCCGACATTGACTGGACAAAGAAGCGTGCCGTGGAGACGGACAAGATCAGGCAGATACTCGAGCACAACTTCAAGCTGGGCTTTCTCGGGGGCGTGTGGACACTGCCGGGGTTCATCGCACACAGCTGCCGGGGGAACTTATGCGTGGTGCAAGTTGGACCCGCCAAGATCTTCCGGGCTAACGCGAAAATCGTCAAGGGAGAGGAGCTCACGTACTCTTATGCTCCTTCACTCGAGATGCTCCCCGTGGCCCTCCGCCATGAGTTTATCAACTGGTGCCGGTGCTGGCGGTGCACAACCGAGATGCTGTACTGGCGATGCGGCGGTCCCTACGAGAGCCTGTGCGTTCGCTACCTCAAGCACCTCAGGGAGTACAGGAGAGTCACCGAAGTGAACCCCAAGAACAGGCGACAGTTCATGGTAGAGCAAGAGCTCGTCCAGGTCGCGATAGACTCGGAGGAGATACTCAAGTACATGACCAACAGCAAGCTGAACAAGACGGTCCTACGCATATCCTTCGCTCCAGCGTACCTCCTCTACTTCCTCTACCAGGATTCCGCCCACCCGAAAGTCGCTGACGAGTTCTGCAACGATTTCATGCACGCTACCGCGACGAACCTCGAGAGCTTGGAGACGCTCACGGCAGGCTTCCTTCCCACGGCGTTCTACCCGACGATGACGAAGGAGGAGGAGAAGTGGAAGACCGTGGCGGATATGGCCATCGACTTCTGCTTCATCATGCGCTATGGAGCGTCGATGACGAAGAGCGCGAGGGTCAAATTCCTGAAGTGGTTGCAGAGCGATGAGCCGGACAAAGCCAGGCGTGCCTGAGGTATGTCTTCCATTCTCACTTTCTTCCATGAAGTTATAACGACGCGTCTCGTTTTTTCCACGAAGGAAAAATATCGCACGCAACTTTGGACGGTGGTTTCACAATGACAAGATGGCTTCGCTGAAATCTCTGTGCCCGGGTGTTTGGGTTTTAGAAGTTTTAGAGCGAGAGGAGGTATTAATCCGGTGTCGGTTCCTTTTCTTTTCTTTGTCCTCGCGCTGTGAGAGATGTCTAGGCGCTCCAAGCATGATTGTGAGCCGAGGATGCAAATATGTCGCCGAATGAGGTATAGTTTAAGTATTTGCGATTTGCCATTTTTAGATTTCCAATGGCGCATGCGTCGAACTCGTGTATCAACGGTTTCAGCATGGAAATGTGGCTGGTATTTTTCTCGGTTTCTTACATTTCTCTTGACAGATTCTCTCTTTTCTTCGTCACAGTCACTGTCGAGCCAGCTCCGGATTACAAATTTCTTTGCGTTGGAAAGCGAGATCCTTAGCGAGGTATAGTTTCTTTCTAATCAAGCGGTCGAGTTTTAAACCATTGCAACGATCCAGAGAGTAGAAACAATTCGCGCTTGAGCTCTCGAAACTTAACGAAAATGAGGTAGTAAATATAATCAGCTCTTCAAAAAAAATAATAATCCTTATGTGGAGATCATCGAGGTCTTGTTCTTGGATGCATTCGGCAAGAGAGTGCAAGCCAAGAAAGAGGTTCGATCGAGCACCCTGGTCGTGACCAAATTTTTTTATTTTTTTATTTTTTGCTTTGGAATGGCGCCTCGAGCAGTGATAGTGCATCCAGCGAGCCAACATTGTGGGAGAAGTTTAACGAGATCGAGGAGGTGAGTTTTCTCCTAAAGTTTATCAAGCTTGACTTGCGCAGCACTATTTTGGCGACGACCTCTGATTACGAGGCCCACTAAAGTGATAATCTTTGAGAGGAAGTTATCTACTACTATAAGGAGCAAACGCCGAACTTTGTGGGCCGCCGGATCTGGCCAATCACAGCCGTCCGATGGGGGGTAACTGTAAAGGGGTTATTTCTTTAACCACGTGTTAGCGAATAATCGTGCTGATGTTTGCTCCCGGCCAATGGGAGGCGGCCAAGCCGCATGGGGCGAGAGAGGAAGGCCCAGCAACACATGGCACATGCAAAGTGTTGACCGGAGATTGCTGCTCCAGGGCGTCACTCCGGGCAGGATCAAGTCCGTCGCGGCCCTTGGAGCGTGCTGTGGATTGCGATTTCTTCCGGTGGGTAAGCAAATCCACTCCCAAATGGTTGCTGCGGGCTGGGATTCGAGCTTGATCGTGTCTACTGCGCTGATTGACATGTATGCCGCGTGTGGCAGCTTGCGAGGCACCAGTTGTTAACTAGGATTCTTTGTGGCCTGTGACAGGCATTGCAAATGACAGCAGGGATCCCTGCGTCGACACCTTTCGCACAGCAACACTGCCAATGCTTAAGCACTTTGGTGTTCCAATCGAATTCCTAGAACTCAAGGTTGTTGCCTGCGGAGCTCCGCCCTTGGGTGGCAGTGAAGTCGTCCTCAAAGTTCCCATTGTTCCCAAGAGCCTCACGGTCAGTTTCTCCAAACTCCTCTTCTTTTCTTTCTCTCCTCGCTAAGAATCCTTCACCAAGCTGCTACATGGGTGGATGAGGGCATGGTGAAACGTATCTGAGGAGTGAGTTACTCCACACGCATCTCACCTCATATGGCCAATCAAATGTGGCATGCTAAATCGCTTGCTCCCCGACGTGTACATCTTTACTGATCACTACACTAGTTCGGAGTCTGGGAAGTAAGTTCCATGATTTTGTGTTGCAAAGTAAACTTTTTTCATCTTGCTTCCTTTGTCATGGCACAGATCTCTGGGCTATGGGATCTCATTGGTGACAAAAACGACCACCGGCTGCATTTTAAGCTCCGAGTGCGCGGCTACGCATTCAGGAGCATCCGAGCTCCAGCTTCCAGAGGACCTGGGGATGCAAGCAGCCATGTCCTTGCTACAAGAGATAAAGCTGGGAAGAGTTGTAAATTCAGCTCACCAGGTATCTATCTGTGAAGCTGGAAAAGAAAGAAGGCGATCTCACAAACTTTCCTGTTTGCCATACAGGGGTTGCTGTTCATCCTCTGTGCTCTGTGCCCGGAAGATGTTTCCAAAGTCAGCGTCGGGAAGCTCTCTTCTTACGGTATCAAGACGCTGCAACACATCAAAGAATTCCTGGGAGTGCAGTTTAGTATCAAGCTTGACCCGGCGACAGGCACGGCTCTACTTACGTGCATTGGAAGTGGCTTCCAAAATCTCTACAGGAAAGTTTCATGAGTCACTGGGGCCATAGCTCTAACAAAAGGAAACCGAATCAGTTACATAGAACTTTTTCTTACCACGCTAGAAGCCATCGGTCTTTTCCAGCAGCAGCGCGTCCACTCTCCTTGATGTGCACAACGATTCCAGCTGCGGCCTCAAACTCCAGCCAGCCATCCACGACGATCATCTGCCTCTCATCGTCATCATCTGCTGATGCTCCCACTAAAGATAAGAAGCTGGAATACACTTTGGACGCGTTCACTATGTCCGTCACTACCAGCCGGGGGCTCTCGAAGTCCGGATGGCAGTGAGCTCCCGGAGGAACTTGAGCATGCAGCTGAAGATCGAGAACATTTTCCCATTAGATGTCTCCCGCATCAAACGTTGATGTCTTTTAGTGACTCAAGAACAGTGTAAGGCATGGGCATTTTAGACACAATCGGCTGAAAAAGCGTTTTAACCTGCAAAGAAGTCCAATGAAACCAGTTCCAGTTAATAAGGAGACATTTTGTATCTCCCGAACTATTTTTTGCTGTATATCCTGATGAAAATGGCAGTAAGAGGTGTGAGAAAAATTCCAAGTTGAACTAACTCACAGTGAAACCCTACCTCCCCCCCACCACAATATAGACTGTAGTTCAAAGTTCGTTACTTGAGAACAAAGAGTGAAAACTAAGTCATGATGAGAACTCCCCAAATCTTATGAACCGCACAAATCTAACTTAATTTTTCACAGGCATTTTGCACAGGCATCTGCCTATCCTCACTCAAAAGTAGTCACTTTACTTTTAGACCACATTAGATCAAAAGTGCAAAAGATCAAAATGTTGAAACCATATTAGAAGTTAAAAAGTAAGGTTTATTACTAGATGATTAGGGTTTCTCTCAAACAGACATCATTTTTTGGCTAAATCACAACTGTGGGGGGCTTTAACAATAAAAGTACATATTTATATTTTTATATGTAACCTTAGTTATTTATAATTATCAGAAAAACTACGATAATGTATGTAGTATTTGATTAAACAATAATATTTTAAAATATTTTTACTAATTTATTAGTATATAATACTATGGAATATAATATTTGAAATTATTATATATATCTATAAATAATTATTAGGCAGTAATTATTCTCTTTTATTTGTTTTTAATTTTTTATTTGTCAATTTGTTTTCTAAATATATTCATATTTCCAAATAATAATTTGTATATAATATTTTTATGAATGAATATTTTATCTTATTTATGCCTAGGAATATATTTTGTCTAAATAGTTATATTATCAAGTGTACAAGAATTTATTTTTTTTTGCATCTAGCATTTTCTAGGCATAATTCTCTCAATCAAAGTGGAATATAATATTTGTTGTTTAAATACTATTCTAATTTAGTTTTTAATATATTAAAAAATCAAAAAAATATTTTGCTAATTACACAGCATATGCTAGGCAAGTGCTAGTCTTGGATATGAATTTATAAAAATAATGCTAGGTATATTGTTAAAGGTAATATGGTCGCTCAGAGGGCATAATCTTGGGGATTTTGGGACTGGCCGATAAGTACGTTAGAGTGAATTGACACATGCTCTTCTCCAAGTCTATCGCCACTGCCATGAGTTCTTGCTCCAGGAGCAAGAGCTCATGGCGGTGGCAATAGACTTTACCTCCTCTACTGCCGCGAGGTGCTCTAAGATGTGTTTGTGTAGCGATGGCACGGGCTCTCGTAGGGACTCCTGCACTGCTCTGGGCCCTCGTGGCTAGAAAACGAACTCTATCACATTCCTTCCCCCACTGGATTTTTTATGTCATGGTCGTCCTTGGCAAAAATCCTGGGAGGGACATCTAGACATGGGTGGATACAAAGAAATTTCGTTGTTACTTGTGATTTGTGTTGTGTTCACGAAGAACGCTTGCAACCTCTAAACCCAAATCCTGGATCCCACTAGAACTTTGACGTCATAGATGCTGACATGGATTCATGGCAGTGTAACGCAAAAGTGCACGAGGATCTTGGAGAGGCCCATCTCAAACGTACCGACAACACCAGCAACTGGCAAAATCCTTGTGGAGGTTCACGGGGAGGATCTCAAGCGATGGAGCATAGCAGAACTTGAGCTCGTCGTCTCTCTGCGATGTTCGAAGCCGCCCAGAAGATCTTGGCGGGTCCAACTTGCACCGTGTATAAGTTCCCCCGGCAGCTGTGTGTGATTATTCCTGGCAGCGTCCACACACCCTGAGAAAGCCCAGCTTGAAGTTGTGCTTGTTTATCTGCTCATTCTGTTCCGCCTCCACGGACCCTTCTTTGTCCATTTGAAATCAAAGTTCGTACACTGGCATATGGAGGTCTCTGGTGATCTCCTCTAAAAATTCTTGGAGTTCTTGGAGAGGTCAGCGCCACTCGCAAGAGCACGTCCACATTGGCAGGCAAGCTGATGTCACAGATGTAACCGAGTGCAGGACGATCTTCCCAGGCGGGATCGCTTTGGTGGCAAACAAGCCGATGCCACTGTAGTCACGATGCCAAATCTTCACTGGCCCTGGACATAGTCTCGAGGACTCAGGATTGGAAGGAACTGGCTTTGGAAGGGGTGTAGAAACAGAACCTGGATCTAACAGCGGTTCAAGGCATGAACACTTAGCGATCAGCCTTTTATGTGATGCTTAGAAAGGTTGTCTTATCTATGCCCGGAGGAAGTACAACACAAAAGCTCTCTTGGCTCTTATGAACAATTATTTGAAACTCATGGATCATCAGTAAGAACAAGATATGCTTTTGCTATGGTGTGGTGGTATGTATATTTGTCTTTATTTTTCTGTTAACTTGCAGCTGTTTGTTATTTTGTGCATTATAGTGTTATCTCTCCTTTACTGACGATGCCCTTGTCAGAAGCCAGAAGGCAACGGTTCGTGTTGCTGCATGTATTTTGTACTCAGGTAGGCATTTTAGCTTTTCTTACTAACGCAAACACTTGAGAAAAGCTGTGTTCTGTAAGTTTGGCATGTTGTATGTGACGATTGAAAGATCCTGCTCAAGGGAACTACCTTTTACAGCACTTTTATGGAGGCTCATTCTATCTTGGCCTTCATGAGATATTTACCACCCACTGAAGTTGCTAGAAAGGCTCTGCCCTCCCTCAACCTGGGGGGGAGAGAGAGAGAGAGAGAGAGAGATGTGGCTAAAACAGTTGCATGCAAAAGAAACAAAGGAAATGGAAAGAAAGAACACACTAGAATGAAATGTGAATGAGGAGTGAGGTGTAAAGTTTGGAGTCACAGAGAAAAAACCATGTGAAAAAATTGTGAAGCCAAACTAAAACCTCAGAACTCTTGCGAAGAGAGGAGAAAAGAAAAGAAAAAAGAGAGAGAATCTAAAGAGAGGAAGTGGGAGCTAAGGGAGGTGAACACAAACTTTCGATCTCTGACACCTCTTAAAAGTAACTCGCATATTGCAAGTTCACCCAAAGTTCCTAGAACAAAGTGAAAGAAGGAATAACTGAAAGGATGAGGGACTGCCTAGAACTTCCTTTTGCTCCAATAATTAAATATCTTAAATTTAAAAGTTCCAAAGCAGGAGAAAAAGAGGAAAAAATGTGTTCTTAAAACTTTCATGGCTCATTCTATACATTGTCTTTTGATTTTCTATATAGGTTTTCATGGTTAAAATAAAACGAAACTAGGTACACATAGCATAGTTATTATGCAGCTAAAACCTTATACCTTATATGATTATCTTGAGCATCATTTCAAAACTAAAGTCTGATATTATTTTTAATGTATATTTATTTAAATTATTATTATGAAAGTGGAATATAATATAGTTTTCAATATAGTCAACATTGTGGTGTAATACAAAACTAGAATACAATATGGTTTTTAGTGTAGATGTCATATAATTCTCTCAAGCACTATATAGAACTAGAACATAATCTAGTTTTTAATATAGTTAACATTTTGGCAATATTTTGAAACTGGAACACGGTATGATAGTACGTTAGACAAAACCCTCATGAAGAAGTTTCTTCCTCGGTGGCTTGGCCCTATGACTGGTTCCTACTTGTTAGCAAATTTGGGTGATGAGCAGCATGATGTAAGAGTGGAAGTATATCAATTGAAGCTGTTTTGCATTCAATTATCAGCTCAACAATGTTGATATTTCTAGCACACCGCATTTGCCAGAAATGTTATTGATCAGGTCAACAACTGAATCTTGATGCGTGCTTTTCTCATGCTCCTCATGTGGCTGCCTTGCTGAAAGGGCCAGTATTCCTTCTTCTTGTCTTGCTCCTCCACTGGCTCCTTTTTGGTCTTGAATAAGAACACAATGTCGTTGTCATCACACAGAGAATGTCTGTTTTCAGAGAAATTGGATTTCTAAATGAGACATTCAAGATTTCTCCATTCCTATTGTCCCTGTTACACTGGCATCACTCACATCAACGTCATCCCGGCCTTGCAATGAAGAGGTTAAATCTGAAGACTTAAAATGACTGATCTTGGAGAGATCTCATACCGTCTTGGTTTACAACTTGTAAGATTGAGATAGAAAATCAATATTCCTCCAACAAGATAAGTTTAAAAGGAAATTACATGATAAGTATTTTGATGGAAATACAGCTCATGCTCTTGCAAGTACCGGTACCTCAGCCATAGACCATGTGCTAACATGAGGCCTCAGGACGAGGAAGATAGAAAAGAAATGAAAAGTAAGCTATTTAAGAAGCTACTGGGAAGTTTAATGTACTTATCAACAGTCTTAAGGCATGATATTTCAGCATTGTGTCAACTAGAAGCCAATACATGCAAGATTTTGGATTAAAACATTGGTTTGTAGCTACGAGGATTGTGAAATACCTTCATGAAACTCTAAACCGAGGAATAAAATTCTTAGGGGAGTGATTACTAGCTGGATTTGCTGATGCAGATTACATGGACATTAGAAAAACTAGATTATGATGGTGTTTCAGGATGTATGGAGCTATGAATTGGAGTATCAAGAAACAACCCATGGTTGCTCAATCTAGCTGTGGAGCAGATAGAGAATTTGCGCTAGAAGGCTTTTAGTGGATTTGGGTGTGGAGCAAGGGATGCCCACCGAAATTAACAATGACAGAACCTTTGCCATTGCATTGGCTCACAAGCTGGGACCACTAAACACATCGAAGCAGGTGGCGATACTCAAGCATATGACAGAGAGCAATGACCAACAAGACGGTCCATCTTCTACTTTCTGTACAAACAGGGTAGTCGCATTGATGTTGAAGGATCTGCATGGTTGTAGATCTCGGCAATTAATTGTAGGATTTTATAAAAGCCCTTACCTAAATTGGAACACCCATAATACGCATCCTCTTTACCCTAAAGGTATATGCACCCTTTGAGTTACCTTGATCCTACTTTATAAAACTAATATCGTTATAAGATAGCTCAGCCCGGCGCAGACAAACGCGGCCCGGCAGCATATCGTCATCGAGGCACCATGTTGTGGTTCTTCCATGGCATAGTTCTTCAGCACAGATTTCTGGGCGCATCCACGAGGAAAATCGTCTCCAGCCCTCTCTAATCTTGTCATGGGTGCGCGGCGAACGCCTCCCACAAGATGGAATATTCTCATGGAACGGCATTTGCCCACAACCGGCAAATGTGTGAAGTCTTGGCGCTCTTCCGGCAAATGCGCATCCTAATTCTCCTGGCAGCTATCTTGTCGATCCGGCGGAGATCCATGCGCTAGTCGTCGCTTCTGGCCTGGATCTCGCCACAGCACCTCAACTCCTAGGGATCGAAATCAAGGACGCCAGCAATGAATGGACGGCTGCACTTAAATCTCTGTGCCCGGGTGTGTGGGTTTTAGCGAGGAGGTAATCCGGCGTCGGTTCCTTTCCTCTTCGTTCTCGCGAAATCCTGCGAGAGATATCTAGGCGCTCCAAGCATGGTGGTGCTCAGCCGGGACAAAAACTTTCTTTACGTATGTGGAGATAATTGAGATCTTGTTCTCGGACGAATTCTGGAAGAGAGCGCAAGCCAAGAAAGAGGTTCGAGCACCCTGGGTTTGTGACTTGTCGTGACCAAACTTTCCTTCTTTTGCTTTTGAAGGGCGCCTCGAGCAGTGATAGTGCATCCGGCGAGCCAGAATGGTGGCAGAGATTCAACGAGCTGGATGAGGTGAGTTTTCTGAAGTCTCTCCTTTGTTAAGCTCGATCAACTTCCTCGCAGCACACTTTTTGGCGATGACCTCTGTGCACCAGTGGATCAAATACGATTGCATGGCTTGATCACGAGGCCCACTAGAGTGATCATCTTTGAGCTTGGCGAAATATATCGCCCGCCAGTGGAGCGCTCTCGATCGTCGGTGAGTGGGATAATTGAGGCATCCGAACTGGGCGGAAGCCACGATTTCATCCTGCATCTGGCCGGCCCGATCGAACTTCGTCTCCAATTTGTGGCTCGAAGTGACTCTTCCCTGGAGGAACTGAACGGACTATATCCCAGGGGCGCAATGGTAGCCGCGAGGACGCTTTACCCAGTGGAAGGAGTGCCGGGACGTTGCTATTTTGTTGACAATCCAGGTAGAGATTGCTTCTTCTTGTTCATAGTCACTCGCTTTGGGTGTTCAGGGAACATAAAGATCATATCATGCTTCCCGACGACCATCAACGAACTCGACCAGAAAACATCCAGCGAGCTTCGGAGCTTGGACAACGAGCAGTTCCTCAGGAAGCAATGCGTGGCGGCTCTAGAGCTCTACAACCTGAGCATTTCGAAGGCTGACAACGAGAGGGACAAGCTTCTGGCTCTCGGAAACGCTGCCGAGTGCCACCTTGAGCTCGAGAACTTCTTCCCTGCGCTTGAGAACGCGGAGAAGGCTCTGGCGCTCGCGGATGCCACGGAGAACGTCCCCGCCTCGGTGAAGATGCTGACTAAGAAGGGGCGAGCTCTCCACGGCATGCTCAAATACAAAGACGCAGTGCAGGCGTACAAGCGAGCTCTGCTGCAGCAGCGATCAACGGGCTCATAATCGAGTTCATGGACAAGAGCGAAGAACGGGACATCTCTGACGACCTCCACCGCTACCTGAGCCTAGGCTGCAAGAGCGAGGACGTTCCAACTTTCACGGAGTTTGTCGGGCCAGTGAAGCTTCTCCGCGGTGACTCCGGTGGCCTCGGCCGGTTCGCCACCGAAGCCATCGCACCTGGGGAGATCGTCCTCGTGAGCAATGCACTCGGCTACGTCCGTGACATCGGCTTGCATGCGAATGTAGACGTCTTCGTCAAGCTCTTGCGAGCCGCGCTGACCTCATATGTGCATCGATTACTGCTTCCAGACGCGCTATGGATCAGGGATGACGAAGAGCGCAAGGGTCAACTTCTTGAAATGGTTGCAGAGCGATGAGCCGGAAAAAGCCAAGTGTGCATGAGTGAAATTTTCATGAAATCGTGATTTTTTCATTGGTTAAGTGTTGTAAATTCATTAGTGCTTAGCAACATTATTTTTATTTCCTTTATCGATTGCCATCCGTGGGATTTGAACCCACGACCCCGTTGTTAAAAACCACCTGAGCGTAAGGGAATGACAACGGTCACATTTTATGGGCTTGGAGATAGGGTTCTTTGGCGCAGGCGATGGAGCTTAGGCGCTTCTACGGATGCTATCTCTTGCGATCCATCAATCCTCGCTTCAAGGGACAGACTTACATCGGGTAAGCGCCGGGAATGCAAATAGCACAGGAATCTCAAGAATTTGAGAGAATTTGGCAGTTTTACCGTGAATCCGCGACGAAGAATCCGGCAGCACAATGGAGAGATTACTTGTGGAGCGTTCCGGACCAAGAAGAAGAGGCCGTGGGAGATGGTTCTCTGCGTTTATGGATTTTCATCGAAGACGGATGCTCTCCAGGTAAAGAATTTGGATTGAAGGGATTTTTTCTTATTTTTCGGTTTTGCCCAGTTTGAATGGGCATGGCAGCATCCAAAGCTTTCAAAGGAGGTGGTTCTTCCGGCAGAAGTAAAGCCCAAAAATTTGCGAGGAATAGCAGGAAAGATTAAAATTCTTCATGCGATGTTGTGCTCTCCAAAATGGTCCAGGTATTTTTGGATGATGATATGCTTTCATGGTTGACATTTTCTTTTTCTAGCAGGATGAAGCTTACGGTCCAGTTCTTTTCGTCCGAGCATGCACAACACAGGAAGGGATGCCAGACTTTACCGGATCAGATGAGATGCTGCATTGGATCTATGGATCAACTTCCCAGCTACGCAGAGTATTGCGAAGATCCAGCAGACGAACAAGACGGAAGTGATAGTTTATCAAGAGACGAGGAGGGAACTTTGGATGACGAGGAAACTCTAGAAAATCCTCAAGAAAACGGACCAGTTGATTCGATCTCTCCTACTCGAGGCACGAGAACCACGCAGGGATCTTTCCAAGAACAGGCAGGACACGCAGAGATTTCTCCCGACAGTAGTGATCAAGAATTTTTTCGTCCAGCAAAGAGGAAAACGACGAACAACTCGACCTCTCAAAAACAGACGATTTCTCTTCCTCCAGCGAGGAAAGAAAAGAAGAGCAAGAGCAGCGATGCTGATATTTTTCTGCAAGCGCAAACGCCCAAGACTCCCAAATCGCGAAAAACTCCAGTGGTGATCTTGTCACCAGTTTTGCTAACGCCGAGGATCTCCCCGTTATTTGGAAAGAGGATGTGCTCGATGATCTCCCCGATCATCATTCTCTCCTCCACACCCAAGCGAGCTCGCGCCAGGGATGTGATCGACCTCACGGAATCTCCCGCGCTGTTCTAGCCAATTCAAATTCGTTTAAATTCTTGCTACCGATTCTAGGTTTCTTGGATTGTAGGGTTTGGAAGATGGAGTCCTCCTGCACAGCGCGGCCGGATTCCGGGAGCCAGCAGCCAGGTGAGACGTCTGGCTCGGGGCGCAAGGAGAAGCGCAAGGCGCGGAAGAAGATCAAGCGCAAGAAATGTCGGCAGCGGATTGCCGAGGCGGAGAGGCTGCGAGAAGAGGTGCGGTTACAGGATCCGGAAGAACTGCTCCGAATCCGCAAGGCGCTGGAGCTGGAAGCGCAGCGGGAGGAATTGGAGAGGAAATTACACGAGGAGGAGGAAAGGCGCTGGTTGGAGAGAGAGCGGCAAGCGCAAGAGGAATTCCAGCGCAGGGAACAAGAAAGATTGTCAAAGGTATGAGATTTTGTCTCGTGTCGATGGATTGAGCTCCATTTGTTTGTTTTTTCTTTCGCAGCAAAAAGAAGTACCTTTGGAGAAGCAAGAAAAGGAAGAAGAAGAAGATGGGGAATATGAAGATGGTCCTGCCGAGATCATCTGGGAAGGAAATGAGATCACTATCAGAAAAACTAGAGTTAAAGTAGGAGCCAAGGTGGAGAAGCCGGAAGTAAATACTAAGGAGGTATGGCTCTCTTATCTTTTCGGTTCTCATGTATTTATTTATTTTCCATCCTTGTTTATATTCTTGTCATCCAGAGAAAAGATGATAGACCAACTCGCAATCCTTCTCCTCCTCCGCGCTTAGCTTTACCTCGAAAACAATCTTACGATGGAATCGAACAAGTTGCGAACTATGGTACCGAGCAGGTTTGTAGCGTATTTCCCATGCTGCTACTGTTTTTTACGCTAGATTTTTTTTTTCCTACGGTGGATGCAGGACAAAACCCACTGCCCCTTCCACACAAAAACTGGAGCTTGCAGATTTGGACCTCGCTGCAGTCGACTTCATGTGTATCCAGAAAAGTCTTGCACCCTCCTTATCAAGAACATGTACACCGGGCCTGGATTGGCTTGGGAACATGATGAAGGGTTGGAGGTCTGTATGTTTTCTTTTTCTTTTTCGTGTCTGCATTGTCTCGTCGGTCTGTCCGCATCTTCTTCCACATTAGAATCTTTTTCCTTGACTAAAATTTTCATCAAGCTCGCTACTCGATTGGTATGGAGAGGCCAAGGGTCTATGTTGGAGGGATTCAAGCCGAATCAAGAAGCTCTGGGAATCTGTATCCTGCTTATATTCTTTTAGTCCTTTTTTTTTTTATCCTTAACGCTGTTATAGGCATTTGGATGTCGGTACATTCTTGCATATTCATATTCTTTTGAAACAGTGCACGGATGAGGAGATTGAAGAGAAATTCGAAGAGTTTTACGAAGACGTGCATTCCGAGTTCTTGAAGTTCGGAGAGCTGGTGAATTTTAAGGTTCGTTGTGAAGTTTTGCGTGGCAATCTTAATGTATTGCTTGGATGTAGGTGTGCCGAAATTCTTCACCGCATTTGCGTGGCAACGTATATGTGCATTATCAGTCCGAAGAGGACGCGGTTGCTGCGTGTCTTGCTTTGAGTGGAAGATTTTACGCCAGTAAACAGGTATTAGCTCGATATTCCATTTGACCGTTATGTTTGACCTCTGTTTCGGCAGATGATTCCTGAGTTTGTCCGGGTCTCAAAATGGAAAGCGGCACTTTGCGGAGAGTATATGAAAGCGCATCAGGTGATTTTATATTCCTAGTTTCTGAAGTTTCTGTTTCCTTGACTGTCGTTGTGCTCTTTGTAGACGTGCTCCCGGGGCACAGCGTGCAATTTCCTTCACTGCTTTAGAAACCCGGGTGGTGAGTACGAGTGGGCAGACCGGGAAGGTCCGCCGCCGAGGTCATGGAAGCAGAAGATGGCCAGTCTTTTCGGTCTCCAAGTTGAAGAGGTTGAGAGCAGGAGCAGGAGAGATCACCAAAGACGGGACAAGGAGCAGCGTTCTGATCATCGCAGGCACTCGCACTCTAGTCGAGAGAATGGAAGAAGGTATGATCAGGCGAGAGGAAGTTCGTACAGGTCGGAGCGAAGTCATCACTCGGGTGAAAATGATAGAAAACACAGGAAACGGGAAGAGGATGGATCTGACAGGGATAGGAAACGGTCGTGTCGATCCGACAGGGGCAGCAGGAATGGATTAGATTTGGAGAGGACCGATGATGATGATGGTGGCCGCTGGCTAGATTGATAGTGCTGTGCATGGCAAACGTACGTGGCAAGCTGCAAGGACTTAAACTTTGGTTGGCGCGCGGTAAATAGTCACAGTGGCCGTCGATTTAGAATCGGATGGGCGGCTTGTAGGAGAGGCTGGGTTATGGTGGGTTAGAAAAGGAGGAGATCGTAGCCGAAAAGCATAGGGTATATAAAAGCATGAAGGTTTTTTCCAGTGATGCCCGCTAAGAAAAGAGGAAAGGGTAAGAAATCGAAGAAGGCGAGCCCGAAAGCAGCAGCAGCAGCAGCAGCCAAGCCGCCCAAGACTCCAGCGGCAAAAGGTAGCACAGCGTCTGGTAGCAAGAGAAAGGCCAAGGAGGTTCTGGCAGTGAGCGTGCCGAGGAGGGTGTCACCGAGACTTTTGGCGAAGCGGAAGATGCAGCAGCAGGAGAACGGGTTTGGGAGCCACGAAGAGGCGCTGGGGATGATCACTCTACCGGTGGACAACGATGAGGAGGTGCACGACCACCGCGGGATCAGCAGCAACTCCAACCGGCTCAAGCCGAGCTCCTCCACCAGGATCACCAAGGACAAGGCGGAGCGGTCGCAGGACGCGTCCGAGGACGCTGGCGGAGGAGTGGCCGCGGACGAGGCAGTGGAAGCAAACGTTGGCGGAGGAGGAGAAGAGAGCGGCGACGAGGAGGAGGATATGGATCAGATGCTTTTCGAGCGAGGAACCGGTCCGAGAAAGGAGCTGGCGGTGGGGAGGATCATCGTCCAGGAGGAGCTCAAGGAGGCGGAGGAGACGCTGAGCGGGCACGCGGTGCTGCTCTACTTCTGGCGGATGGAGGTGACCATGACGTGCGATCTGGCCGAGGAGTGGATCCGCAACGCGCTGGGCGACGCCGAGGCGATCGGCCACGTCCAGCACTGCCGGGACCTGGGCCGCGGCTTCTTCCTGGTGTTGTTCGAGCTGGCCATCGCGCGGCGCAAGGCGCTGGCGTTCAAGCCCCGCCCTTTCGGCATCCAGGTGAGCGTCTTCCCGTGGTGCCCGGCCACCGTGAACGACGAGGGCGAGCAGTGCGCGCCGCGGATGATCGTCCTCCCGGGGCTGCCGGACCAGTGCTTGTTCGTCCTGCCCAAGATCGCGAGGTCGCTGGGGAGCTTCATCGGGTGCGTTAGCGGGCGGCCGAAGAAGGAGGCGGTGCGCGGCGAGGAGGGGTTCGCCGCCACCCCGGCCTGCGCAAAGGGGGCGGCCCGGATCGCGGTGATGATCCCGCCCGAGCTGAGCATTCCGGCCACGATCGAGATCCAGCTGCGGACCGGGGTGTGTAAGAAGCAGCCGATCTACGAGGAGGAGGAGGTGGGGAGAGGGCGGAAGAGAGTGGCGGCGGCGGCGGCGGCTGGGCGGGCGGCGAAGAAGCTCAAGAACTGATCCAAGTGGAGGAGGAAAGGTTTTTAACGGTACTACTCTGGTTTTAGGGTTCCTGGTATTTCTAGGGCTTGTCATAAATTTGGGGATAATTAAAGTGCTCTGTTTTTAGGGTTCTTAGAGATAATGTGGGGTATTTCTTTTCTTGTCATCAATGGGGTAGGGGAATAGGATTCTGTCGTGGATTCCTGGAGCATTTCCACAGATGATCGTTTAATCGCGTGGGTTGGAAGGAGTAAAGGGAAATTCGTTGTGGGGGGGCCACACACAAACAGTTTGGTGTGTCGTGATCCGGACGAAGCATTGTGTGTCAAACCACCGCCAAATCCTCAAATCGCCCTAGTCGTGCGTGGCCCCCAATTCGCCATCCCACCTCCTCGCGCACATCGATCCGCAACCCACATTGCCCGCATAGCGCGCGCAGCATAGACGAGGCAGCCAAGAAATCGCCCACTCTAAAAGCCCACCTCGCCCCCTTCGAGAGGAGAGAGGAGAGAGAGTGAGTGAGAATTTGCGAGAGTTCATCCTTCTCTCTCTTTTTTTTTGATTCGATCCTATCTGGAGCTGCATGCATGCACAGATGCCACAAAGGGCGATTTGGGTTTGCTCGATTGGGCTCCGATCTTCGACCCAAGTCGCTGGATCCAGCGCGATCTCCTTCTTCTTCTATGCGCACAAAGACCTAGCGAGCTAGAGGAGGAAGAACAGAGCAACTAGCACTATAGTGGATAGATAGATCCATCGTGGGTCTTTTTTATCTTATTTCTCTCACCCCCTCCTCCCTTTTGGAGTCTGAGATCTCGATCGGGCAGTAGAAGGAAAAAGACATGGGATCCGGATCGATCTCCATGACGACGACGATGCGAGCAACGCTGTGCTGCTCGCCCTCCGAGGATCACCACCACCACTACCGCAAATCTCCAGCAGCAGCAGCAGCAGCAGCGTCGTCATCGCCAAAGGTGAAAGTGAATGGCGGCCATGGTCTCCTCCCCTCCTCCTCCTCCTCCTCCGCCGCCGCGGCGACTTCCTCTCCATCCTCCTCCGCTTCCCCCACATCTAGTTCTTCCTCCGCCGCCGCCGCCGCCGCCGCCACCACCACCACTTCCGCCGCCTCCTCCTCCCTCCTCCCGTACCTCTCGATCAGCTCCGTGCTGTCACAGAAGGCCGCCGCGGTGCTCTCGGTGGCGTCCGAGACGAGCTACGCGCTGAGCGGCGCGGTGCTGTCCGCCATCGCTGGAGTGACGCAGATTGCGATCGTGCCCGGCGTGGTGGAGGATCAAGAACAGCACCACCACCACCACCATGGCGGCGGCGGCGTGGACACGCTCAAGCAGGGGCGATTGGTGGAGAGAGTGGTGTACCGGCAAACGTTCGTGGTGCGCTCCTACGAGGTCGGCCCCGACAAGACGGCCACACTCGACACCTTTCTCAATCTCTTCCAGGTACTAGAAAAAAACTCTCGACATTGTCTCGCTCTCTTTTGCCCGAGCGATCGATTGGCTGGTCCGAAAGATATCGATCGATCGATCAAGCGCGATCGCATGTCTTGTTTGTTTGTTTTTCTTCTTTTCTTTTCCTTTCTTTCTCGTGTTCTTCGGAGGCTTTTGTGGTTACCTTTGGCGTTTTGTTGCAGGAGACAGCTCTGAATCACGTTCTCATCTCTGGGCTGGCCGGGAACGGGTTTGGCACAACGCATGAGATGATAAGAAATAATCTCATCTGGGTCGTGACGCGCATGCAAGTGCAAGTCGAGCGGTATCCAGCCTGGTACGTTTCATTTCGTCCGCCATCGCCATTTCTTCTTCTTCTTCTTCTTCGTGTTCTTACTCGCGGAGATCTTCCATCTTCTTCACAGGGGAAACGCTCTCGAGATTGATACTTGGGTGGGAGCCTCGGGGAAGAATGGCATGCGGCGGGACTGGCTGGTCCGCGACTACAAGACGGGATCCATTCTCGCAAGAGCCACCAGGTTTGTTCTCTCCACCTTGTTCTTTACGTGTTTTCTTGTCCTTGTGTTGTGTCCAAGGAGTGTTTGACTTCTCTCTCAAACTTCTGTTTCTCTTCGTTTTGCAGCACTTGGGTGATGATGCACAAGGACACGAGACGGCTATCCAAGATGCCGGACTTGGTCCGGGCCGAGATCTCGCCGTGGTTCCTCTCCAGAACGGCCTTCATTCCCGAGGAATCGTGCTCCAAGATTGAGAAGCTGGACAACAGCAACACGCGCTACATCCGCTCCAACCTCACGGTAAAAGCGTCTTGATCTTGCAAAGCTAGCGCAGATTGAAAGAGTTTCTTCTCTTGTCGCAGCCACGGCACAGCGACCTGGACATGAACCAGCACGTAAACAACGTCAAGTATCTCACCTGGATGATGGAGGTCGGTCTTTTCTCCCTTGTGATCTCTTCGTTTTACTCTTGCCCTGCCGAGTTTTTCTTCGGTTGTTTGTTGCGTCTTTTGCCTGATCTCTTTGTTCTCGTGCTCTCTTTTCTATGTTTGATCTTTGCTAAATCTCTTCGTTGTTCGCTCTTTCTTATCTCTTCAAAGTTCGTTTTTCGTTGTTCGTCCGTGGTTTCATTTTCCGGCTTGCTTCTTTCTCTTGCTCTCCTTCCTTGGCATCTTTTTCCGGCTTGCTTCTTTTGCGTGATCTCTCCGTTGGTCTTGTTTGTTTTGCTTGATTGATCTCTTCGTCTTCGTCTTCGCTCGCTCTTTTCTTTACTCCTTTCTTTTTCCATGACGCGCAGAGTCTTCCCCAGAACATTCTCGAGAGCCACCACCTGGTTGGGATCACGCTCGAGTACCGGCGCGAGTGCAGCAAATCCGATATGGTGGAGTCCCTGACGCATCCGGAGCGGGGGGGGCATCTGGCAATCAATGGAGCAGCAGCAGCAGCAGCAGCAGCGGCAGCCGCGCCACCTTCCCAGCTTGACTTTATTCATCTCCTCCGGATGCAGACGGGTGGATCCGAGATTGTAAGAGCCCGGACCAGTTGGAAAAGTCGCCACTAGTTAGGTGAGAGACGATGAAAGATCAAAGTTGATTTGATGATCACACACACACAGCACACGCGGCCGCTTTAGGCAACATACCTTCAGACGATTCTTCCCTTGTGATTAAACGTACGCAACAAAAAAGTGTTCCCACTGTAATGTTGATTGATTGGTTGATTGATACGTAAAGACACCAAAGTAAAGCTCCTCTCGTCATTCTCGTAGCTAAAGTTGTTTCGATCATGGTTTCCACGTAGGCTCCTAAGTTGTTTCGATCGGTTTCCACGGCGAGGAGAATCGAAGAGAGCTTTCTTTTCTTCCAAAATGTAAGGCTGTGTTACAAGAAACGAAACACTGTCTGGTTACGACTTACGACCAACACCAAAACAAAACTTCGCTAGAGCGTAAGAATTCGCCTCTAGGCCTTTTGTTTCTTCAGCAGCGAAAGCTCGCGCCTCACAACCGCGGCCCTCTGAGAAAAGCAACGGAAAAACCCGTGAACTCCGAGAAAACCACGAAACGCTATGCTCTTGCGTACCTTGACCTTGGCGACCATGACTTTGAAGCGGTCGAAGTCGTTCAGGGAAGCCCTCTTCTTCTGAACGATGAGCTTGCGTCCCCACGAGCTGTTCTCCCATTTCTTTTGGACCTCTATAGAGAAACAAGAGAAAAAATAAGTTTTTTGTAAGTACTAGAACTAGAGGAAAGAACAAAGAGAAGAGAGGAAAACGAGGCTCTCACCAGCAGATTCGACGGCTGCCTGGAGGTTCTTCTTCTTGGGCATTTTGGGGATGTCGATCTTGATGTCCGTGAGGGCCAGTCTCTTGAAATTCATGCTCGTTCTGATCATGCCGGGGTAGTCGACCAATGCCTGGGGAAAAAGCCCACAATGTCTAGCCTCTACAGCGCACTTGCAAGCTTGGGCTTACCCTGTTCTGATCGATCACGTCCACAATCACCACAAGCTTGCCGTAATCTTCGCCATAGTTGATACAGGCGACCCGGCCGATCTCGACAAAGCGCCTGAATCCCTGCAATCCGGGAATGCGATGGATCTGAGCTCCCGCATCCAGGATCAAAGCGAAGAACACTTACCATCGCCAGACGCCGCAGCCGCCTTGGGCTTGGATTGGGAATTAGGGTTTATCACCGGCCTCTCAATCCAACGGCTGCGAGTGACTAGGGCTGGCGATTGGCCTCAATCTGCACCGTCCATGTTTCGTGCTGGCAGCCGTTGGATGGTGTGATTAAGCGGCACACGGGGAAATCGCATGGCTATCGTGTCTTTAGCACTGTTGGGTGGCTATGGCGTCCGGTATGAAACCCTAGCGCGGGGCGACGGCAAGGCGAGGGCGTGTTGTAGCGCCATTGTGCTGCGTCTCGTTTCTTTCTCTGGGGATTTGATCTGGGAGAAATTTTGGAGCAGATCTGGTCCCTTTTTCTTGTTTTCTTGAGAAATAGATAGGATTTCCCAGTGTAGCAGCAGGCAATTCCTTTGCGAATCGAGCGTCTCGTCTAGTTCTTTAGCCTCGATTTTGTGAATGGCGGCCACGACTTCGTTGCCCCCGGGATTTGGGGGCCTGGCGATGATGCGGCCACACGAAAATCCCCCGACTAGGCTCCGGCGTTCGAGGGGAAAGAGGGTTTCATGGGCACCGGCGGATCATCTTTGTCAGGTAAGATGGCAAGCGCGATTTCTTTTTGTGAATGTGTATGTTAAAAAGGGTTGTGTGTTCCAGGTGCGCATGTTTCTCGCGGAAGACGCTCCCTTTCGTGCCGGAATTCCGCAAGACCAAGACGAGCTCCAAGGGAAAACGTCGACCTTTATGCAAAGAACCGATGACCTTCCTCCGGGATTTGGCGGCGGCGTGGTTTCGTGCTTGAAGACCGATGCCGAGCTTGTTGCTGCCTCTGTAGCTGCCGCTATCCCCTGGAAGTCCCCCCAAAAGGTAGTGGAACATCGCCCATCTCGCTTGCTCTTTCTAAACTTCCACCCTTTTCGCAGATCGAACTAGATCCCTCGTGGCACGTAGAAGCTGGCGAAGGGAGCAGCGAGGTAGAAATCCAGCGACAACGGGAGTCCAAAACTCTAGAAGCAGTGTATCCACGCTCGACCGCGATCCCCAGCAGGTCAGTCCCTAGTTCTTTCCCTGTTTCAATTCGCTGTTTCGGCCGGCCCGCTAATCCAAGGCTTTGTTTGCACAGTCCTTCGGAAGCTCCAAATGAGATCCAGCCCCCTCTGGACGACAGGCTAGTGTTGGTTATCCCCGTGTCAGCTCCGGACGAAGACTCGGACGGGGACGAGGCCCCCTCCTCGTCCTCCACATCGGGGCAAGGTAAAACTGGGTGTGATAAGCCATACAACAGCTACGGGTTTAACCACACGGCAGTTTCTAACGAGGCCGCCATCGCCGCCGCCGCCGCGAGAGGCTACTGCGGTGGTGCTGGTATCGCAGCGGCCGCGGCGGCGGCGGCGGCTGTGAGCAGCGCCATAGACCCAAGCCTGCTTTTACAATTGCTAGCAAACCCGTCGCTCGTTGAGACCCTTTCGGGTGTACGAAACAATTCATTGGTAAATACATCAAATGGAAATGGTTCAGTGCCTCCGAATCAATTGGTGGCAGGAGTCAAGAACTTAACCAGTAACTCCACCACTGTTAGCACCATCACCCAAAATGTTTCGTCCATGGGTTTTTCAGAGGCGGCGGCTGCTGTTTCTTCATACCCCCCGCCACCACCGCCGCCGCATCCTTCTCTCGGATCATCCCCGCCGGCTGCTTCTAGCTCTGGTTCTGCTCCAGCTCCGGCTCCTCCAGGGACAGCTTCGGTTTCTTCGTCGTCAGCTCCGGCATGGGTCAGTCCCTTTCAAGCTCAGCAGGCTTCGGTGTCGACGAGCGATGAGATCTTCGGGGGGTTTTCAGCCATGAACAAGAGTCCGATGATGGTTCAACCGCAGCAGCAGCAGCAACAGTTTATGTATCCCACCTCGCAGCCGCAGCAACATCAGCAGCAACAGAACTTGACGAGGCAAAGCGAGCTCTACTTCCGGGATCTTGTCATGCAACACGGTGCTAATGGTGGTGGTGGTGGTGGTGGTGGTGGCGGTGGTGGCGGTGGTGGCGGTGGTCTCGCAGGAAACCAGAATGGTTACTATGGCAATGGGTTGGTTCCGGGGATGGAGACAGGGAACAAGGGGATGAGCAGGGCACGCAACAGCAGGACGTGTGCGTATTTCAACACGCCAAAGGGGTGCAGGAACGGGCTCAAGTGTCCGTTTGTACACGACGGCAAGAGAGCTGCATCGGAGTTGACCCTTCATCAGCACCAACAACAAGCCAAACGGATGAGAGGCTGAGATTGACGAAGCTTCCACTCCACTCTCCACTCTCCAAAGAAATAGAAAACCAATGTTTGTTGAATACAAAATGACGACAAAGGGTCTTTACTTGCATACTCTTGGTATATTCTCACACTTTGAGTTCCTGTATATTTTTTGGTTTGCTTAAACAAGTTTCAATACAGGCTCCTTTTTCCTGGTTCATAATTTCGAGAATGTTTTTTAACATAACTTAAAGAACTTACTTAAATATTTGCTTGGACATGGTGATCTTTTTCCTTGATCTAAGGAGTTACTAGAAAAAGATGATGGATCTACAGTAATAAAGAAAGTAGGATTTTTATCTATACTGTCACTTAATTTTATTCTCATGTTGAATTTGAAGCTAGATTATTGTATGGGAAGCCCTTACCAATTGAGAGATAATTATTATTAAATGGTTGGCAAGTCTGACGGGCCCAAAGGGAATAAGGTATATTGTTCGTTTCTCTGGATTGTTTGTCTCCTCCAGAGGCTGCTACATTGCATGCACTATAGGTACTTAGTGAAATAATTGACTTTTGTGAGCATGATCTGAGACATGTTTCTAAATGTATATCAACTCTTAAAATATGCCAGAATGTCCAAGCATATTTAGTACTCCTAATATTTTATTAATTTTAATCTGAAATATGGCAACTGTAAACTTTAAATTAAATAGAAAAGTTTAAGAGTAGAACATCACAACTGTTACAATTAATATAAAAAAATATGCCTGGAAGATTTTTTATATATTCCTTACATCAAAAGACAAATCTGTTTTTCAACTTTCAAATGAAATGCATTTAAAAAAGCGTTTCATCTAGCTATTATTATTCATATTATTAACGTTTTATATCTTGAATATGATAATATCTATTCGTATTAGAAATTATGAATCAGGAAAAAGGAGCACATATTATTTATATCTAGAATATGCTATATCTATTTGTATTAGAGAATATTATTATAACCTTTCATTCAAATTTCAAATCACTTCTAGTGATTTAGGGCTTTTGCACCCACCACGCTATTACATTAGATTTTAGAAATTCTAATTTAATAGTTTAACTTAATGGTAATTCGTTCAGACCAAAAATTACCATTAACTTAGATTAATGGTAACATTAGCATTTTCTTTGTATTTTTCCTTAAAATCCTAATGCTACACTTTTCTAGCATTATAATTAAAATATTCAAGAATATTGCTTAAGGATTTAGCACAGTCCCTCTTCTCCGCAAAGACGATGCCAAGATCAAGAAAGGTAGGGTGCTGGAATCAATCAATTGCTAAACTCTCGAGCTGTGCAATCAATCAATCCTTACGCTACTAAAGTTGTGAGGGACTCCGGTTGCTAGCCATCAATCAATTGCACTCAATCGCTGCAATCGCTGCCTACTAGGGTCTTGAGGCAGCACTCCCACGGGAGCTGTGGGGATTCGCAGGAGCTCCACAATCACTGTATAATGATAAAAAATGAAATGTGAACGAAATGTGAATAAATAACCTAATATAAATGGTTATGTGAACTGACTTTTTAGCAAAAATGAGAAAAATTTATAGCATTAAAATTTTAAATTAGGTTAAAATCATTTAATTTAAAAGTTTTAATTAATTTAAAAGTGAGTGCAAAAGTCCCCTTAAACAAAGCAATAGTAACAACTAAATGTCTCATTAATCTTCCGTGTCTCCAATCTGTGCTGTGAGTTTCTCACTGTGAATTTCCTGGCAATCCAAGCGTAACCTTTTCTGAGCCTGACTTGCAATTGTCAAGTATGGTTGACCATGACAATCTCTTTTCACTCCAGATATTGAAAATTTGATTGAATGCGGGAGCTATTTGCTCCGGCACTAATGTGGTTTAGAAAAACCGTTTAGAGTGCTTAGTTGTGATTCTTCATTCCGCCTGCAAACCAGAGCATATGATGAATCCAAAACGACTGGAAAGGCGTCTCTAAGCTCCGGGCTGCAGCGTTAAACCTTCTCGGTGGAAAACTAGTTCAAACAAACGTTAACCTTCACTCAAAAAATGGTACCTTAAGGCTCGTATTTACCTTGGGCAAGGAGTTGTGCACATCAGCAGCCAAACGTGATGTTCCAAACGCTCGCAACCTCGGGCTTCTCCACATGATGAAGCTTACGGTTCCTATAACACCTCCATTAGTCATACTCTATCAACACAACTTTAGACTTGCCTGTGGCGGTTGCGCTTCGCCTCGAGCCGCTCACACTCTCACGGATGGCCTTGTGGATCTCCTTCTCCATCTCCGCTCGTTTCTCTGCTGCTGTCGCTACAGGATTGAACACAATGCCAGGACACGACACTGGATCCACAACCTCTCCTTGGTTGACGCTTGGACGTGCAACACTCGGCACTGGATCCTCGTGACCCTGACCTTGCGAAGTTACTTGCTCCAAGGGAATAGGGCCATGGACGATCAGAGGGTACTCCACCGAGGCTCCCTGCTGGACCTGATCAGTCTTTGGCGGCTCGTCCTCATAAGTTGACAGCTCCGGAATTGGTGGCAGCAGCCGGACTTCAGCTGGAGCACCAAAGTTTTGATCCACCGTGGGATGGTAGACACCGAGAAACGGCAAAGGTTGGTACTCCAATGAGGCTCCCTGATAAGTTGACAGCTCCAGAATTGGCAGCAGCGGGCGGTCTTGAGCTCGTGCTACGATTGGATCCACCGTGGGATGGTAGACACCGAGAAACGGCAAAGGTTAGTACTCCATCGAGGCAGTAGACAGCTCCGGAATTGGCAGCAGCAGGCGGTCTTGAGCTGGTGCACCAACGATTGGATCCACCGTGAGAAATGCCGAAGGTCGGAGTTGGAGTCGCCTTGGAGGCCTCAAGATCAGAGGACCAGCCACTTTTCTCCTGTTGGCATTTAGCTGTGACAGTCGACCAAGCTGCTGCTTCTCCTCTCCAAGCTGCTGCTGCTGCTTCAAGCTGCTCCTTCTCTCCAACAAAGGAATTGAGCTTCTCTTCAACGAAGGAATTGAGCTTGTCCCTGAGACGTGAGTCCTCAATCACGCTCAAGGGAACGAGGTATTCTCGCTGGCTGCCATTGCTGCTGCTGGCACCGCGAGGAAGATGGCTGCTCCCGATGAAGTGCACCATGACCTTGCCGTTGTTTCTTCTCCTCTTCACGACTATCCAGATGCTGCTGACGATGGCCACCACAGCAAGCAGGAACATGATGATGCCTGCCGCGAGCAGCCCAGGCGGTGTGACAAACGCTGCTACTGCTGCTGCTGCCGAAGATGGTGACGACGACGCTGGCGGAGGCGGAGCAATAGAGGAGGAGCTCCAGCCAGGCGATGGTGGCAATGGTGGCCTTGGTTGCCACGTTACGGAGTCGTGAGCAGAAGGTGGCGGTGGCCCATACCTCCTCGGTAGCCAAGTGGTTGTTGTGGAAGAAGGTGGCAGCGGCTGCTGCCCTGTAGCCTTTGTGGCACTCCTGTGCCTCATGGGCTTTGCTGATGCCTCTGGTGGGGACGGCGGATGCGCCCGACGATGATGCGGCAGTGGCCTCATGCTCTTCCTCGTGTTGTGCTCTCCATAAGGCGACGGCGGCGCGGCGATGATGTTGCGAGCCATAGCTACTTGGCAAAAAATAAAACTCACCTCAGACAGAATCCTTTTTCTTAGGGCATTAACACGCTTTTCGAATTAATTCGCCATGGACTTCTTTTAGTCGCATTTGTCCCTCGGCTGATCCTGGATGAGCATTTCGAAGACGACACTCCTCAACTTGGCTGTCGATGCAATTGCGCTGCCTCCAATCTCGGCCTGGGTCCACGAGCACGCGCGCCACTGAATTGACTGTTTACCAAGCCCGAGGGAGAAGGACACACTTCTCTGGAGACGCGAGCACTGAAAGTCACTTGGTTTTTATACAACGCTAAAAATCATATCAGCAGCAGAGCTAGAGTTTTGTTGCGGGAGTCGTGGAAGGATACTTCTCGCCATCGCGCTCGTGATTTTGATCAGTGGCAGCGTCGATTTTCCAGGCTTGGTCGTTTTTGGTGATGAAAACTGATTCAAAACAAGACTGATTAACTTCCAAGTGAGAGAAACTCACATTCTTACTTGGAACGAGCTCCAACTTTTCAAAGTCAGCGAGCTGAAAATTCCACAAAAGTTGCTGAGTCGCCAGGCACGATTTCAATACACTCTTGGCACCAAACAAGTTCTGCATATCTTCCTCTCTCCCTGGCGAGCTGGATGCGCGGGCAGCGCTGGCGAATCCCCGGTACTCGTCCAGGATCGCGGGCAAGAAGATCATCGAGTGATCGCACATTGCCGACGTGAAGAGGCCGCGACGAGAGCTGGAAGAAATGTGCTCGCCGCCGTGCGCGAGAGAGAATAGACTAGTCTGCATCGGCCAAGAAACTGATTAAAGATCTCGTCGTGGTTGCGACGCGCCGCGATCGTCGTTGAATAGGCGATTGGTGAAGCCGTAGCGCGGATGGCCGGTGCATGGTCATCGCGCTGGTCGTCCTCGCGAAATATCCCAAGCCATTGGAGAGAGAGAGAGAGAGCTAGTGGATTCATTATCTTTTCGTTCTTGGACGCTTTGACAGCTGGTCAAATGCTGGTCAACTTAAGTAAACTGGCTACCTTGAAGCGCGCGAGAGACGAGAGGTGGTGATGAGAAGGCCATGGAAGCCGCGGCATTTGCAAATACAGTGGCGGCACTCTCGAGAAGCGATCATGAAAGTTCAACAAGAAGAAGAAGAAGACGGAGCGAGATGGGTGCTGTTGCCGCAGAGCAGTGCTTGCCGGAGGAGACGAGCAATGCGTCGTCGTCGTTCTTCCAGCCCAAGGATCCATCGCCCAATGCGCCCCTGCTGGATGGCGAGCTCGCCGCCGAGCAGCTCCACGACTGCGCGAGGGCCCGAGACATCGCCCGAGGTAAGCGACTTCACTCTCTCCTGGCCGCGTCTGGGCAGGACCAGGGCGTCCACCTCGGCAACTTGCTCGTCACCATGTATGGCAAGTGCCGCAGCGTCGAGAATGCACGTCTCTCGTTCGACCGAATCACGCAAAGAAACCGGCGGTCGTGGAACGTGATGATCTCGGCGTATG